AATTAGAACAGGGTGGTGTGTGTCATTCTAATCCTCTGATTTGTTTTTTTCTTTTTTTTAAATTTATTTATTTATTTATTTATTTTTTTAAATATTTTTATTTATTTCTAGGAGAGAGAGACAGACAGCGTGAGCAGGGGAGGGTCAGAGAGAGGGAGACACAGACTCCGAAACAGGCTCCAGGCTCCGGGCTGGCAGTCAGCACAGAGCCGGACGCGGGGCTCGAACCCACGAACCGCGAGATCATGACCTAAGCGAAAGCCGGACGCTTAACCGACTAAGCCACCCAGGCGCCCCTTAAATTTATTTCTGAGAGAGAGAGAAGTGTGAGCAGGGGAGGGTCAGAGAGAGCGGGAGATACAGAATCCGAAGCAGGCTCCAGCTCTGATCTAGCTTTCAGCACAGAGCCTGCTGTGGGGCTCGAACCCACAAACCATGATATCATGACCTGAGCCGAAGTCAGACGCTTAACTGATGGAGCCACCCAGGTGCCCCAATTTTTTGTTAGTCCTAGCAGATAATTGAAGCATACCTATCACCTGAGATGTCATAGAAACTATAACCACTGGTAGAGTAACAGGCTTGATTGCATAGCAGTAAATGTCCTGTGCTACTGTAAATGTCATTTATGTTTGTTCTCCTGTAGCATTCACAATGAAATTAAGAACATATCCTTTTCCTAGCATATACTCTTTGGAAATGTGCAGCAAAGAGCACAGATAAAATCTTAAGCAGAAATAATTTCTAGTCCTGTGGAAAATGTTTGTCATATAAATGATACTTGTTTTGAAAAAGAGTAGGCTTGGGCGCCTGAGTGGCTCAGTCAGTTGAGCGTCTGACTCCAGCTCAAGTTATCATCTCACCATTTGTGAGTTCTATCGAGCCTTGCATCAGGCTCTGTGCTGACAGCTCAGAGCCTGGAGCCTGCTTCAAATTTATTTTAAGGAACTGGATCATGTGATTGTAATTGGGTCATGTGGTTTCTGGCAAGTTTGGAATCTGTAGTTGGCTTCAGATTTATTTTAAGGAACTGGATCATGTAATTGTGATCAGGTCATGTGGTTTCTGGCAAGTCTGAAATCTGTAGCAGGGCTAACAGGTTGAATATTCTGGTAAGAGTTGATGTCACAGTCTTGAATCTGAAGCCCATAGGGCAGGAGAGCAAGCTGGAAACTTGGGCAGGGTTTCTATGTTGTAATCTTGAAGTCCGGTTGCTTCTTCTTCAGGAAACCTGTCTTTGCTCTTTAAGGCCTTTAGCTCTAGCATGAGGCCCACCACATTATGGAAGAGATCTGCTTTAGTCAAAATTTACTGAATTAAATTTTTTTTTAAATTTTTTAATGTTTATTTATTTTTGAGAGAGAGAGACTGAGTGCAAGAGAGGGAGGGGCAGAGAGAGAGGGAGACACAAAATCTGAAGCAGGCTTCAGGCTCTGAGCTCTGTGCTGACACCTCAGGCCTTGGCTCGGGCCTCGAACTTGTGAACTATGAGATCATGACCTGAGCCAAAGCCAGACACTTAACCCACTGAGCCACCCAGGCACCCAATGAATTAAATGTTAATCACATCTGAAACATACCTTCATAGCAACATCTAGCCTGCTGTTTGACCAAATAATTGGGCAAAGGAGCCCAGCCAAGTTGACACATATAATTAATTATCACAGTGGACTTCGGCCTTCAAAGTTCTTTTTTTTTTTTTTAATTTTTCTTAACATTTATTTTTGAGAGCCAAAGAGCAAGTGGGGGAGGGGCAGAGAGAGAAGGAGACATAGATTCCAAAGTGGCCTTCAAAGTTCTAAACAATGATTAGTGTTATCCAAAGTCTATCCCTGACATTTAATCACATTATTTTCTGTGTAGACAATCAATAACCAAACATTTCAGAATGTTGGGTCCTGAGTTTCAGTCTAATCCTAAGACATTATCCATTTCATTCCAGAGTATGAAATTCTCCAGGACTTGCACAAATTCACACTGATGAGTGTGTGAGCACTCCCTACCTCCTCTTTTGGAATTGATGCTCCTCTTTTGGAATCTGTTTGGCCAAGGGGCTACACTTTACCCCGGGCTCTCCAATGAACTGCTATAATGGTGGTACAGATCCTGTACAATCCCAGCCCAGAGCCAGCAATGCAAACTCTTCAGCCCCTCTACAGTTTAAACTCAGACTGGCAGGCTGGAGAGTGCATATCACTCTCACCTAACTTTCCCTTATCTGAAGCCCCCTCTTTGAAAAATTTCAATCATCATTCTTTCTTGTCCAGCTGTGGTGCTTTTCAGTATTTCTTTAGAACTAATAGCTGGATCAAGGTTTGTTTTTGGTTTTTGTTTTTAACACTTATTTATTTTTAAGGGGAGGAGGGTGAGGGAGAGGCGGAGAACAGGAGACAGAGGATCCAAAGCAGGCTCTGCACTATGAGCCCAGAGCCTGATACAGGGCTCAAACTCACGATGGTGAGATCATGACTTGAGCTGAAATCAAGAATCAGATACTTAACCGACTGAGCCATCCAGGAGCCCCTGGATCAACTTTTTAAAAAGTTCCCAAAGGAAGCATTAGGCACTCAGAGTAAGTGTGGTGACCATCCACCTGTCCATTTAATCTCCTCTCTGGTGTTACTTAGTGCTTTCTTGGTGCCCAGCATGAGCCCAGAAAAGTCAGAAGAAACGTGTGGTGACAGTCTGGAAGCTTGATACCTAGTTTGGGGACACGAAACTGATGCTTCTAGTGAAGCTTACCAAAGAGAAAACATTTATCTAGCCAAATACGTGAAGTTCATTATTTTATATCAACAACCAGAGTTTTGCCTATTAACTAGAAGTTTTAGGCCACAGGCACAAGCAGTTAGATCCTATTAATTAGCCTATTAGAATTTCTTCATTCTTTGAGCTATGAGACCCTTAGCTTAATTCAAGAAGAAAAGCTGAAGTCATTTGAAGGCAAAGTGAAAAGATTAGGACTCTTCCTACTATAAAGAGAGAGGATTATAAGGGAATATTTACTGTAGTCCGTAAAATCGTAAAGGAGATAGATTATATAAAAGTAACCTAATACTTTTATTGCTAAGTTTGCAATTATTGTACACACTCTAAAACATAGTGCTGTATCATTTTAGTCAGAAATATAATTTCATAAATTCCATATTTCTATTTTATCATATCTCAATTGATTAAAAATACTGTTTAGAAGACTGTGATTGAGAACAGATCTATCTTAAAGCGTTTTCTTTTTTAAACAAAGTGCAAGCATATGTTTTACATATTTGTTTTTACTTAGGAAAAAATCTTACTTAGAAAAATACAACTTGGGTGTAGTACCATGTGGTGTAAACAACTGAACTCTTTTACTTTTTACTTTCCTATGAATGAGCCAGTATATATTTATTACTGGAGTTCCAGCTATAAAATTCAGGTAAGGGGTTTAAATATACCCTAGAGTATTATTTAAAAATAACTTTGTTTCTTTCAAGTAGAATGCCATACTTGGTCTACGGCATTTGGGGGAGAAATTAAAATATTAAACTTTTATTACCCAGTAAACTGAAAATAAAGTAAAGGTTAAATAAATACAAAGCAGAAAAAAATATATATACAAAATCACAAGCTCTTGGAGGACAAACAGTCTACTGTTCTGTACTGTGGGAGCTTTATCAGCAGTAGTAAGTAATTCCACCTCAAGGGCAACACTAGTACTCAAAAATGTAAACAAGTATGGACTTTGTTTATACAAAGAAATATGCAGCATGGTTTGTATTTCTCTCTAGATATCAAACAGCTACATGGATTGTTTCAATACACCAGTAGAGGCCAGCAAAGAGCTCTTAGAGTTTTCAGAACAGAATTGGCATTGAGATATGTTTATTTGATGTGTTAAATCCTTTTTAGACTTCTTTACTTACCACAACACTCTCTTAAGTGAATGAATTGCAGAGACAGTGGAATAAAATATCTTGTGTGCTCAAACTATATTGGGGTATAGTTTTTCTGTCTAATCTGCATATATTTTTAATGGAATGTTTGCTTAGGCTATTTCTTGGCAGAGTTTTAATAGTCAAAATATAAATGGCATCATTTAAAGACTGTACTACTTGGCTGGAAAAAGCCTTAAAATTACAGGAGAAAATGCTTGGTGACAGCTTCTCTTAAACCTTTCTTTCTCAGACCTATGCTCAATTTTTCAATAGTATTACTAGGCTAATTTTGTATTGCTATCCTTAAGCTTTCACTTTTTATAAGTAGGGTTTTGTAGGCTAAAATATTTATCTGTTTGATTTAATGCTAGAGTTTTAATTCACCTCCCAAATTTTGGTATTTCCAAATTTATACAACTGTTTGAATTTACTGATTAAAAAACTTAATGGAATATATGCCTTTCTACATCAACTGACACAACGAGATTCCCTACTCTGGCTACTATTTGGAAATTCAGTCCTTGATTTGATACTCAATTACATGGGGTTTCATTCCTACCAACTTCCTGTAATTCTATCCTTATGGGTAAAAATATTAGTGGTCAAACTGTGCTGGAGAAAGTATAGGCACCGTGATTCACATAGTTAAATGTTCATTTAGTAGAGCTGGAGTGAAAAAATACTGTTTCAACTTGAAATGCTAGAAGATTGTTGTTCTTGTGTTACTCATTCATGCAAATTGGAGAAGGTATAATTGAAACAAGGTTGGCAGTGTTTGAGGCAGTGTGCTGCAGCTGAGCTCAGCTTAAAGGTCGCTGGAAATCAAGTGCTTTGTAAGTGAAGGCATTTTGACTACACGCGATTCAAAATATTTGGAAACGTCAGTCTCAGGAATGGGTCGTCTTTTTCTTTCTATGATATCTGGTATCTAAGATTTTACTTAGGATAAAGACTACTGCTTAAGAGCTCTTTTAGGCACCACAAATGATTTTTTCCTTCGATGCAGTGCAGCTGCTTCTAGCCTGTCTCCCGACAGAGATCTTTGTTATGACTTTCAGTCCTTAACATGTTTGGAAATGAGAACAAATGGCACAAAGCTTACGATTGCACTTTGCAGCCAGAAGAAGCAATACTTATCCTTTGTCAGAGACCTCTGGAGATGATCTGGATAGCAATGTTCACATGTGCTTCAAAAGACCAACACGGATTTCAACATCTAACGTTGTTCAAATGAAGCTGACTTCTAGACAGACTGCACTAGCTCCGTTAATACAGGAAAACGTTAAGTCTCAGGAAAGACCATCTGCTCCTTCACCTGAAAACGGTAATAAAAAGAGCAGCTGTCTGCAGATTTCACTACAGCCAACAAGGTACAGTGGATGTCTTCAGTCTAGCAATGTCTTAGCTGATAGTGATGATGCTTCATTTATGTGTGTCTTGAAGGATGGCATTTACAACAGTGCTGTGGCTGATAATGAACTTAATGCTGTGAATGATGGTAACTTTGTGGGCAGTTCTGCCCTTCGCAGCAGTAGCCTTAGTAACTTTTCTACCAGTGAGAATGGGTCTTACAGCAGCAACGGTAGTGATTATGGATCATGCACAAGTATTACAAGTGGTGGTTCCTATGCAAACAGTATCATCAGTGATAGCAGTGGTTATACGTTTCCACCAACTGATGATACATTTCTTGGTGGAAATTTATCTTCCGACAACACCTTCAACAGAAGTGTGCCAAACAGGAATACTACTCCTTGTGAAATTTTTTCAAGAAGTCCAAGTACCGTTCCCTTTGTCCAGGATGACTTGGAGCACGGACTAGAAACTATGAAATTGCCAGTGAGCAGACACTCGAAAATTCCACTAAAACGCTGCTCATCCTTAGTCATTTTTCCAAGGAGTCCTTCAAATACCCCACCGACTTCTCCAACAAGTACAGATATTCTTCCGAGCAAAGGATCCTATCAGACTTCACACCAGTTTATAATTTCTCCTAGTGAAATTGCTCATAGTGAAGATGGTCCTAGTGCTAAGGGATTTCTTTCAACAGCTGTCAATGGACTTCGGTTATCAAAAACAATCTGTACTCCCGGAGAAGTAAGAGACATACGACCACTTCACAGGAAGGGCTCGTTACAAAAGAAAATTGTTATTGCAAATAACAGTCCAAATCAGACTATCTGTGAAAAGTCATCTGAAGGATATTCTTGCGTTTCAGTGCATTTCACCCAACAAAAAGCAACTACGTTAGATTGCGAGACAGCAAATGGTGATTGTAAACCAGAGATGTCAGAAATTAAGCTGAATTCTGATTCAGAGTGCAGTAAGCTTATGCATAGGACAGCTGCACGTTTACCATCCTCCCAAAATGCAGATTACCAAGCAAATATCAATGGACAGTTGGAAAGACCAAATTTACAGATCAACAAAAATCATGCTGTTTTACAAAGAAGTATTTCATTGGGAGGAACTTATCCAAATGTTTCCTGTTTATCCAGCCTTAAGCACAATTGTTCTAAGGGGGGACCATCACAATTACTCATAAAGTTTGCATCTGGAAATGAAGATAAAGTTGATAATTTATCAAGAAACAATAGCAGAGATTTCACAAATGAACTATCTAATTCTTTAAAGCATTCTTGTAAGGTAAGTTTCCTTTGGTCCTGGTAAATGTTAATTTATACTAGAAAAGCTTTATGGACTATTTGGTTAAAATTTATTTTAACTTAGCAGTTTTATGTACTTCCCTGGTCCTTAGCTAGCAAGTGTTTTATAGTCCTAATCTTTGTATTTGTAAATCTGAAAAAACTCCAATAGCTTATCACTCTATTTGTTATTTTACCAGTGTTGAAAATATGCATAAAAAAAAAAACTTTCCAAAGTGATTTAGGCCATGATACATTTCTGTTGCATAAAAACAAGCTTCAAATAATAATTTATTTCATAACATTTTTACCTTGGTATATTTTTTCCTCCAGTTACATGGCATTTTAATATCTAACTCCATAATTTTATGCCCACTTTCAAAAATGTTCATTTGGAAAAAAAAAAATGTTCATTTGGTATTCTCCCCTCCTTAATCATTGTGAAACTAAGTAAAATGTAGAATCCTTATTTAAAAGATTAAACAATAAAAAGCCTACATAAAAATGTGAAGATAGTGTTGCAAATAAACACAGAGAAAATGTTTCTCTAAAATATATATATTTATTAGAACATTGATAAAAACTATTATGCTGCATATTTAAAGCAGAGGAAAAATAAATGGCTTTTGCATTTGTATATAGCCTTAACCACAGGAATTTTGTTTCCACCCGATTTTCCTTTAGCTACCAGTTAAGACTGCCTTCTAAAATGTAACTCAGTCTTTCAACAATATTGAATTCCAAATTTTATATTTTTTGAATTTGGTTTCAACTGCCAGGCATTTCCCATACTTTTCTAGTTACTTTATTACTTTTTATTTTGATAATTTTGTTTATTATATTAGTAATTTAACTCTAATGAATCTTAACCAAAACATTTCTTTGTATAATCGAGTCTTTCCAAAGTATTTGAACTTAAATAGATTTTCCAAAGTATTTGAACTTAAGTAAGTAGATTTTTTAAATTTCTGTATTTGGAAAGTCTTGCCAGATTCCAGGAAATTAAAAAATTCTGGCTAAACCAATTCTAGATGACAGTATACATAATAGTTTAGGGGTGAGGAAATCCTTATCTGTTTATCTGTGTTTATATAACACTCAATATCTATATTAAAAATTTTTTTAAACTTCTGGTCAAACAGTCTTGGGTAAATAACATATCAAGTAGTTGATAGTTTTCTCTCTTTTGAAATCTCATAAATACAGTTATTGTTACCCAATGCCCAGATGTTAATAGAAGCAACTACTTTATTGAAGATGAATAAAGATCAGATTTCAAATTCTGACCTATGTTTTAGGATTATTTCATTTATAAAACTTAAAAACAACTTTTGGGAGATTATAATCCATGAAACTGTTTTGCCATCAAAAGAAAGCAGTGAAATGACACTATAAAGAAACATATGAAATAATTTGCTAATTGAAAATATACCTTATAAACTTATTTTACATTTAATGAAATAATCTGAGAGAAATAATTAACTTCAAAATATTTATGAATAAATATATTTATAGAAATAACCTTAAAATAGTTGATTTTTATGGTAATATAGTTTATTAATGATGCTTTTGAAAAAGGGTATTTTTAATGTTTTTTAATAAAGTGTGACTAAATGCCTTTTGCATAGCTAAAAATACACACTTTTATTGGTTTTATTTAATTTAGGTAAGCTAACTTAAATATTTTTTGTGACAGCCACGCTTTGTGCAGATTCTGTTTTTTTGTTGGATTATTGAATTATAAATAGTTCAGAGGTGTGCAGTTTCATGGAGAGCTTTAGAGTGTTCCTTCGTTTAATGTTTATGAAACAACTCTTTATAAAAGTATTGGGAAGGAATCTAGTGAACATTAAATTCAACGTATACTAGATCTAAATTGATCTAATTGATTGGTAAAGGCTTGTTTTAAGAGGAAAATGCTAGTGTTGGTTTTTCTAACCTTAGCAGTGGCAACAATAATGGGGTTTTAGAAATAATCCTGTGTTTATCAATAATTATATATTAATCTAATTATAGTGGTATATTGTAACTCATTTATAAATAAACAGCTCCCAAAATATTTCCCATGACTCCAGTTAGTCTGGGTTAGTATTCTGATATGCTGAGTCTGGATTCACATTTAACAAGTTGATATTAGAGTAGCATTTAGTAATGTCAGCTATCTGTACTGAGCAGCCGTGAAATTAAATCACTGCTTCGGTCAGGGACCCTGGTTTCTAAAGCACTGAGAGTCTACGAATTCTTTTCTTATGTGTTTAGCTACCAGTCTCTAGCAGCATAGTATCCAGTTTCTAGCTGTCTATAATAACAGCTCATTAATGGCTAATTTTTAAAATATAGTGAGAGCTTTTTCCTGTATCTGCAGCAGGACTCTGTTCTGTGTTTACAATAAAATGAAAATGGGGCTTTGTGGTCTTCATGATAATGTTTATTCATTTGCTATCAAAGAACATAACAATAACTGGCATATGTTTATTATATATACTTTCTGAAATAATAACTTTTGATCTGAAAGTAGATATTTGACATTTTAACATAGTGTGTAATATTTTGTCAGCTCGGTCAAGAAGCAGTTTCTATCTAGTTACAAAAATTACTCTTCATATTTCTAAACTCTATATAATGGTTTACTCAATTATTATTTTATTTTTTGCTATCTGTTGTTTTCTAAATCCCCCATGTTATGTTGTTAGGATGCTCAGAGATTTTGTTACCCTATTATTTAAATGCATTCGCACTTTGCTCTAGTTTGTACATGTCCTCCACTCTTCACATATTTGCGTGTTTTATCCAAAACTTTGGCTTTACATTTTATTCTCTTGTTATAAAAATTTTTCTTCATTTTGTTTTGATTCATCGTAGGGTGGTAAATTGTTCTAGCCTAGTGTAGTGGAACTTAAAAAAAAACACCATGTCTTAGTTGTTTCAAAAACCTTTAACACTAATCTTAAGATAAGACATTTCAACAATTTATTTAATTGTTCTTCCTAAAATAAGTGTTTTAAATATATATTTGTTTTAGAATTCCATTATTTTCTCGGCCCTTATTAACTCCAGAATATTTAGAAACATTTGGTTAAATTTATTTTGAACAACACTTAATCTTTCTTATAAAATCCAATATGGTTTATAAACATTGACTCTAAAACCATGATGCAACATTGTGAATGACCAGTTCTAGAAATTTGGTAAGAAATATATGCTTGTAAATGTATAGCTCTTAGAACTGAGAAACTGTAATATTAACTTCAGAGTTGTTCAGGGAGCTGAATTGTTTGCTACAGAAACACTTTGTACTTCTCCGTAGATGTGATTTCTTTAATCCATTCATCTAGCACACATCTGAGTGCCTCCTATTTGCCAGGCATTCACCCAAGCTCTGGGAATAAAAGATAATAAAATATAGTCTCTAGTTGAGGGAACTCCCATGCTAGTAATAGAGACACACTGGTAAACAAGCAGAAATTCAGTCTAATATGTGCTGTGCTAAAACAGAGGTGTGTATGAGAAAGTAAAAAAAGATGCAAGAATACTTGTCTGGAGATGTCCTGGTTGGTAGAGAAGGCTTCACAGAGGTAATGACGTTTGAGCTGAGTCTTGGCAGGTGAGTTGGAGTTCACCAGGCAGAGAAAACAAGGATATTCTAGAGCAAGGATTGTCAGTCTCAGCACTGTTGACATTTTGGGCTGGAAACTTTTTGTTGTGCAGGCGCTGCCTTGTGCCTTAGGGTGTTCAGGAGCGTCTCTGGCCTCTACCCACTAGATGCCAGTAGCACCCCTCTCCTCTAGTGGTAATAATCAAAATAAGTCTTCAGATATTGCCAAGTGTCCACTAGGGGCAAAACTGACCTCTGTTTAGAATCATTGCTCTAGGCAGAAGCAGCTGCACGTGCAAGACTAGAGGCACGAAAGGGTCACACCATAAATAGTTCAGTGTGAGTCAAGCACAGGGAGTACAGGGATGGAGGAGGAGATGATACACTAGAAGCAGGTTGGATTTTCATTGGGTGCAGTACTTCATGCTGAAGAGAAAACAGCATGTCTCTGGCTAACCGAGAACAGTTAGGCAATGGAAATCTTTATCTGAGAGCGCATAATGTGCTCATTTTTATGTTTTTAGGTGATAAATTCTTATGACACCATGGATTATAAATGAACCAAAGTTTCTTAATTTGGATGACTGGGTGAATGGTGATGTCATGAACTAAGACAAAGAATCCAGGAGAAGGGCAGGTTGGAAGGGCCAAGAAGAAATCATGCGTTATTAGGTTCACGTATTCAGAGGGTGGCCCAATAGTGCTGCTGTCAAGACAGCTATTTGAGATACAGGATCTGGGCTCAGGAGAGAAGAGAGAGTTGGAAATGTAGCTTGGGAGTTACAAGTATAGGTAAGGCCTTAGGTAAGGGTGAACTGAAAAGCATAAAAGTGACTTGAGAGGGAGTGGTAAATCAGAATTCTGGGGACCACCAACTTTGGGAAGACAGTGGAAGATGGAATAATCAGGAGACTAAGAAAAGAGCCACTGGAGGACAGAGAGGCCAGGAGAGCAGGGAAGCCCAGAAGTCAAGGGAAGGGAAAATTCAAGGAGGGCAGCATATGGTATGTACCACAGAGCCTCTGCATCCACTGAATGTGGTAGTTAGGAGGTCCTTCATGACTTTAGCAAGAGTGGGTTCAGAAGGATAATATGAAAGCCTGGCTGAAGAAAGAATAAAATAGGTAAGGAAGCAGAAAGCCTTGCTCGATGTCATAAATCAGGCATGAGTTAGTGTAGGCACAATATATATTTAATGGCTGGTATACAGAAGACATGGTATTGGGTGGATATAAATGCACAAGACAAATTCTCTGTCCATGATAATATTGTAGCCTGCTCTCTAGAAGAGGGAAGGGCTTATAGCTCTCTGTTCTTTTACCTTTGAACCACAGAATAAGTGAATATGAGCAGTGAAACCAGAAATGGAGATCCAGTAATCTGAGATGAACTCACACATTAGAAGA